ACTATGGTATATTCACACAATGGAATACTATGCAGTACTGAAAAACAAAGAATTAATAAAATATTATACAACATGGGTGATCCTCGAGAACATTATGCTGCGTGGAATATCTCAGTCACAAAAGGACAAATACTGCATAGCACCACTGTTAGAAAACAGGACTGACATGGGAGTTCAGGAGAAACTAAGAAAAGAATAATGAATACATGTGCCGGGTGGTTCAGATCCACCAGTGGCTCAAAGGAAGATGAGCAATCACCTCCTATTGCTGTTTATAGCCTCAGAAACTCAGTAGATGGTCGATGTGAGGTAGAAAAAATATAGTTGCAGTGAAAGATTGTGCTTGTTTATATTTTCTCTCTAAATAGCCAGTGTGGATTTCTTTTGCCTGCTCGTTTAAATCAAACTACTTTCCCTTATTCTAAAATGGCCAGAACATTAAATTCCATTACCTTGTTGGCATTAGCTGTAATACAGAATTCATATGTTCTGGATTATGATTTGACAAGGACTAATAAATCCTGCTGATAAACAGATAAATAAAAGGGAAAATTCAAACACAGTTTTTCTGTATGAAGGTGACATACTTCAGATTAAGATCATTTCATTATGTTTGCTAGATTTGATTTAAACCTTTTCAAATTATGTGGCTTTGGGACTGGGCTTGCTTTGATTCTGGGCCAAGTAAATGAGTGATCTATAGCACCAATTCCATTTTAACACTGATTTTATTATGCGATTAATGCACTGCATTGCAGGAGACACTGAAGTTGACTGGGCTGACTTTGAAGTATTTTGACGGCCATTAATTCCTTTACTTGTCAGTCGAAGCCTACTTTCTGTGCTTAGCATCCTGCTGGGTGCTGGAGACTTGCTGCAGAATAACTAGAAAGGAACACTGGCGGAGCAGCCTGACAGCTAACTAAAAGGCTGACAGTTTGACTCCATCCATCTACTCCCTAGAAGAAAGACCTGGTGATTTACTCCCATAGAAATTCAACTCCGCTCATTGCTGTCAAGCCAGAACCAACTCAGAGCTGACCCTCCGGCTAGTTTCTGAGGCTGTAAATGGCATAGAGACAACTGTCTAGTTTTCTGTCATGGTGTGAATGGTGGATTTGAACCAACTTTTGAGTTAGTAGAGCAGCTCCCTGTGGGCTAGCCTACCAGAGGTCCTTGCCTATATATATTACAGACTAGAAAGTCCAATCAGGCTGTTCTACTCTTTAACACATTGCATTGTTGTGTGTAAGACATTTAGTCAGTGGCACCTAACTATTGTGAATCATATATAATCCCATCTGCTTATCAATGGAAGACAGGTTCATAATGAATTCCTTCTAAAAGAAGAAAAGCTACTGTGTAAAGAAGGAGGAGGAAGGAGTTTTCCAGCAGCAGAGAAGACTTGAAAAGTGATGTGGACTTGTCCTCTTGTTTGATGATCTTGTATTCTTCAGTATTGAACATAATTTTCTAATTGTTGCTTTAACAGCATTAATGTGTTGAAAGAAAGGCTTTGACATTTTTTAGACTACAGTTATTTCCTTAAATGTTTATGAACAATACATTTGTAGTTCAAGAAACTACTTATTTCCTGATTTTATGTTTTCTTTCCATGTCCAACAGAAATTTGCATCTGAGTATCAAGTGCTACCATATTGTTGTTGTTGTAATGTGCCGTCGAGTCGCTTGCGACTCATAGCGACCCTATGTACAACAGCCCTAAACTCCGCTCTGTCCTGTGCCAATCGCACTGTCTCTGACACTCCCATCCCAATTATCCCAGTCACTGAATCAATCCACCTCATAGAGGGCCTTCCTCTCCTGCGCTGTCTCTCCACTCTGCCCAGCATGATGTCCCTCTCCTCACAACATGTCCAAAGTATGTTAGACGGAGCCTCAGAATCCTTGCCTCCAAGGAGCCACCCTGTTTAACCCTTTCCAGGACAAATCTGTTTGTTTTCCAGCAGTCCATGGTAGTCTCAATACTCTTCTCCAGCACCACAGTTCAAAGGCATCAATTTTCCTTCTATCCTCCTTGGTCATTGTCCAACTCTCTGATGCATAACAAGTGATTGCGAAGACCATGGCCTGTATCAGACACACCTTAGTCTCCAGAGAGACACCATTGCTCTTCAGTACTTTGGAGAGGTCCCTAACAGCAGACTTTCCCATGGCAATGCGCCTTTTAATTTCCTGGCTGCTGGTGCCAAGACTGTTGACTGTGGAGCCAAGCAAACTAAAGCTGTGTACAATCTCAGTCTCTTCACCATCCATCCTGATGCTGCCAATTGGTCCAGTGGTGAGAATCTTTGTCTTCTTGACATTGAGCCTCAATCCATATTGGAGGCTGCAGTCCTTGACATTCTGCAGTAGGCGCTTCAGGTCCTCTTCAGTTTCAGCAAGCAGGGTTATGTCATCTCCATAACGCAGATTGTTGATAAATCGTCCACCAATCTTGACCCCACATTTCTCCTCATAGAGCCCAGCCTCCCAGATAATCTGTTCTGCATGTAGGTTGAAAAGGTATGGAGATAGGATGCATCCCTGGGGTACGCCCTTCCCAATTTTGAACCATGCAGTGTTCCCATATAGTATGTGATTTATTATTAGTTTTTCACTGTAAAATTTTATTATTTACTGAAAGCAAGTAATGCTGCTTGCTATACTTATCTTAGACACTTCCAGCCTACTTGTTCTTTTTTTTAAAATTGGTTTGCTTACAAAGTTCATAAACATTGCGTTTAATACTATTATTTATTCACATTGTATTTCAAACAATCATTCTCATGCATTATGTTTTATAAAATTAATCACCTTTTGGGGAGGTATACCAATGAAGGAATTTTTCTTTTACTTTTCAAAGAGAAGTGCAAACTAGGGGGGAGGTTGGGCAGGGAGTAAAGTGCAACAATGAATGAATGAATGGAAATCTAGAGTCTCTGTAAACTTCCATTAAAATGAATAAAAAGGTATAAAAGAATGAATCACCTTTGGACCTTGCCCATCATTACCCTGTCTTTTTGCCCAAATCCTTCCCATTTACTTCCCCCTCCTCCCTCTGCCCCCCACACTGTGTAATCCTGTGGTTTTACCCTGACCCATTCTCAGTCCTTACCCGCTTGAGTTCCCATACATGTTTTACTAGTTATCCTTCTATTTTTAATTGTTAATTTTTTGGTGCTTAAAAACAGAGGGGCTTAGAGTCCCACCCTGAGATCTGTTTCTTATCAGGCTTTTACTTTTGAGCTCACAATGCCCAGTGGAAATGTGTATTAAAACCTTAATGTTCAGATTTTCCAATCCCATGGTTCCATATTTAGGATTTTTTCAAAAAAAAAAGTAGTTAGAAACTCATAAAGGCTAGGGATGTTCACAACAGTGATTTATAATAGGGGGAAAATCTCAGGAAGAGTCAAATATTCAATCATGAGTAATTGGTTAGATTATGGTTCAAAATATGGAAGAATTATATATTTATTAAAAACAATATTCTTCTAGGATAATGAAGGTACATGGAGGTATTTAAAGATTATGATCTTTAAATCTGTAAAACATGTTTGCAATAATGTACAATTTCATTTTTATGCACACATATACAAAAGCATTCAGAGATACAGAAAAAAGCCTGAAAGAAAATATAACAAAATGCTAGAAGTCTATTTAGGGCTTGGGATTATAAGGGGTTTTGTTTTGTTTTGGTAGTTTATTTTATAGACTTTTTCTATTTCACATACTTTGTAAATTTTCAGGAGCTCTGGTGGCATCGTCTTTAGGGAGTTGTGCTGTTAACCTAAAAGCAGTACCTCTCTTGTGGTTTGAACCCACCTGTTGTTCTGAGAGGAATAATGTGCAGTCTCCTCTCATGTGATTTATAGCCTCCAGAAACCTACTGGACAGTCAGCTATGATTGGATTCCAGCTCAAAAGCAATGAAGGTGAAGGAAAGGTTCTAAAGTTTATTCGGTGAAGTTGCATTGCTTTATTCAGGAACAAACCCCTGGGGACTTCTCCAAATTATAGAGGAGTAGTGATGTCAGTTTGAGGACTAAGGTGTGTCTGATTCAGGCCATAGTCTTTCTGATTACTAGCTATGCATCTGGGACCTGGACAGTGAATAAAGATGACAGAAAAAGAATTGACACCTTTGAGCTGTGGTGTGGAGAAGAGCACTGAACATCCCTGTAGATAGCCAAGAGAATGAACAGATACATCTTGGAGAGGGTGCAGCCAGAGCACTCTATGGAGGCAAGAATGATGAGACTTTGCCTCACATACTTTGGACATATTGCTAGGACTTGCTATTCCTTGGAGAGGGACATGATGTTGGGAAGTGTAGAGGGTCAGTGAAGGAGAGGAAGACCCTCAACCAAGAGGATTGACAAGGTGACTGCTGCAATGGGCTCTTGTGTGTCAGGAAGTGTGAGGATGGCGCAGGACAGGACTGGTTTCAGATCTTTTGTTCATAGGGTTGCTGTGAGTCATACTTGACTCAATGGCACCTAACAACAATAACATATCCATGTCTGTTTATCTATATATGCATGTTTACAGAACTGTGTAGCTGAGTTTTTACTGTTTAACAGTTTAATAAAGTGGCCAGAAGAAAGGTACTTTGCTCAGACCCTTGGAACCTTTGAGCAGTTAGTTACATGTGAGACAAAGCTTTGGAAATCAGACCTCACACGCAACCACCCTCTGGATATTCCTTCCCTTCTCCTGACTCCCACTCCTTAGCCAAGCCATGTGAGATGAAATTGCCCCCAGTTCTGTGCAGTCCACTTTCTTGGAGTTGCCAGCTGTGAGCCCCACCAGTAGGGGGTGCTGTCAGGCAAGGGATATAGTGATTGGGCGGTCTGTAGAGCAAGATGAAACATCTATCAATAGGTTCCTTTACGTTTAAATAAATACAGACTAGCAAAGAGGAACGTTATCTTTGGAAATTACAATAATTGTATGAGCAAATCATCATAAATGCGTTTATTATTTTTTTCTCCCTAGATATTTTATCCAGAAACTACAGATGTCTATGATCGGAAAAACATTCCAAGAATGATATACTGCATTCACGCACTGAGGTAGGAGAAACATCCAACTAAAAGACTCTCTAGTATTAGATTCAAATAAAATGACAATCTTAATTTTTAAATAAAGATCAAGTTACTTTATCTGAAGAAATATTCGATTTCTTTTTAATTTGCTGCTTTCAAAATTAATTGCCTTCTAAAAACTGTGAACTTTAAAACTGTTTTTCTGATTTCTTTTTATCCAGTTGAGAAATATATAAGGAAAATCAAGGGAAGAGTTTTAAGTATAATAAAGGAAGAATATAAGTAAAAATGTCTAGGAATACGATAGTAATGTACTACCTAATTCTTGAATTGTAATCTTGTTAACAGATATAACTGAAATATATTAAATGAACAGCTTTCATAGTTATTACCACATAATTAACATTTTTATACTTTTTAAATTATTAAACTTAAAAATACAGATGAAGTTTTTGGTGGGTTTTTACCTTGTGTTCAATAGAAATTGTCCCTTAAGAAATGCTTACTTTGAATTAGTTCATTCAAGACGCATCCACTATTTTAAGCCAATCATTTGAAGAAAACTGAATTTTAAAAAATATTGAAATGCTACTAGTTCATATATTATCTTTTTCTATTATTGGCTCACAACAATATTCTTTCGAGACGGTAACAAAGCATTCCAAAAACCCAGTTTGGAACTAGTGTCTATATACATGCAGGTAATGATTGGAAGAATTCATGTCTAATTAAGTTTAAAATTACCTTTAGAACATCTGCCTTGTGTTTCTATCACTAGCAATCATTTTCTTGGCAGATTCCTCTGCCTTGAGGTTTATATTAACTTCTTTTTGGCTCTTTTTCTCTCTGTAGGAAAAAGTTTCCGTAATGATTCATTGCAATACAGGTCTTCTAAAGATAGATTTGGGTTATGCTTGTGTGATTTGACATTTGTCAGTACTTATGATACTACTTTGGCAAATGACAGCTGCTACAAATGTAGACCAAATGTAGTTGTCTTTCTGTGATTTATTTTTTCTATTCTAATGATTTAAAGCAATTGATGGTAAAAAAAGAAAAGGACTTTTTTGCTTGCCTCCTCATCTATGGCAAAAGTAAAATTATGACAGCAAAAAACTCAACTCACTGAGGTCGGGCCTGAACCAACTCATAGCTGTGCTGGGTTTTTGGTGGTGGTAAACCACACTGGAGGAGACGGCCCATCTTTTTCCTGTGGATCCCAATCGACTTAGCCCACCTTTGACTTTGCAACCTAACTCTATCAGCTTCGCCGCCAGAGCTCTTAAGTTTTCCAAAAAGCTGCCTGTGCCAATGTGTTTCTTTTGAGTAATATTTTAAAATGTTACCTAACATTCTTTATCAAATATTTTTCAAAGTTTCACATTAGCCATTACGCTGTAGACCACATTAGTGGCCTGCTAAGCCAGCTCCATTAGTTAGTGGTATTATCACATCCAAGCAGCGCACTGCTGATCTCCCTGGTACTCACAAGGTGGGTGTCGTGTGTAAACGTGGTTTCCTGAAGCAGACTCCTGGGACTTGAATGTTAAACGGTTTATATAAAAATGGTGGGCTAAGTTCCTTTCTGGTGAAGTCACTTTTCTGAAAACGGTATACAGAATGGCACAGAAGCTTAAAATATTCACCTAGTATGAGCACATTAATAAGGGATGAAAAGGTGACTTCTTGTTTACTATTGACAGTTGTTGTTGCTGGGTGTCAGCAGCTTGGCTGTGGGTCAGACCCGCCTTATGAACAACAGATCTGAACCTTGATATTGCCTATCGGTGTGATACTTTCTTGGATGATGTTTTCTCAGTTATTCAGCTACTTACCATTGCTTTTACTGACCCTTCAAGCAGACTCCTGTTGGGCTGTGTCATTCACATCTGATCTTGAGCAAGACCTATCTCTTTCAAAGCACTGTTTACCTAGTAATCAGTATTCACTATAGGAAACTTCTCCATTGTCCCTCTTCTAGTCTTATTATGTGGCTGTCTCCCAGTATAGAGCTGGAAGTAACAGTGCATCTAAAGTTTGGTTGGGTTTTTTTTTTTCCATGAAAACTTTTTCCTGCCGTAATTTAGCATTCAGTCATCCCTGAAGGCAGGCCAGCTTTCTGTTCTGTTGAGCATGACACCTGTGGAAGGCAGTAGCAGCAGCCTGTAATCAGTACAGTGCCCTTACTGCATAGTAATGCTGGAAATGAACAAACTTGTCCTTGGCGGTTATATCCTGGCTGCAAATACAGCAACACTGCTGGCATGGAAGGTTGTCATTACCTGGTAGGAAATGAAGCAGGTCAGATTTTCTGATTATACCTCAGAAGCCAAGAGGAAAGTCCCCCAGGTAGTTAAGCTTATCAGGCGTCACCTTCTTCCTGCCTGAGCCTGTGGGCCTGACTTGATCTACAGATTCACTGTTGCCTATGACCTTGGCGCTACAAACTTATCTTTTGTGTGCTTCTTGACTTGGGTTTGTCTCTCTGATTAAGATTTCCTGGGTTCCTGCCCTTGCTTCCTATCAGTAACTCTGTTCTCTTCCCCCTGCCTCGGCCTCACCTTATAAATTTATATCTGATCCCAATCTTGTTGCCTGACACCAATTGCTCCTTTTGTCAGTTAGTCAGTTTTCTGCAGCCCAAACTCCAAAAACAGGAAATCTTCATGCTTTACTTGATGTAGACAGACTCATCTGTAAGATAAATGTGGCCTAATTTTTAAAAGAAATTTCTTTTCCCTTAAAAAATGTTTACTCATTGTGAGCAACATTGAAAAATTCAGAAAGAATGCCTAAATCACTTACTATCTCAACATCAAGTAGAAATCACTATTACTATTTTGATGGCTTAATATGTGTATTTGCCATGTTTTCCATATGTAACTTCATTCAGAATGTTTCAAAGGCTATGAAATAAAAATAAAAGCCTTGGGAGCCATCTTATAGCTGGACCTACTGAGGATTTTCAGAGGCAATTAGATTCTATTATTATTTAAAAAGTTCAAAAAGTGTTAAGTCCTTTATGCACAGAGAAGAACATTGGTTGCATTTTATTTAATGCTCAAATTTACATCAATAATGAACAATGTTGAGATAATTCTTAAAATATTTAAGCATTATTTATAAAGTTGAATTCCCTTATACCACATAAATTAACTTAAGAGAAAGGATTTAAAAATCATAATGTGAATACATTCTTGAATCTCTTCTAAAAGATCCAAATTGCAAAGTTTCACTCATTTCTTGGCTTTAACTACTTCTTTTGACTTAGGCTAGGGTTATAATAATACTACTTTGGCACCTTCCTTGAGATGTTGCTCACCAACACCAGAAGCTATAGAATGCCCCTTCAAACCTGCCATGCCTGTGGGCCTGGTTTCTGACTAACCCATCGTCAGCAGGAACATACATGGAGCTCTCTTGGCTTGGTTTTGTTTCCTAACGTCATTTAGATCCTGGCCACTGGGTGTCTGGCTGGCTTTCCTTTTTACAGGGCTGAACTTTATTTGTTAAATCAATTAAACATTTTGTTAAAGCACATGACTTTCAGGTAGGGTTTTATATACAATCTGTCCCCCTCAATCCACCTACCCACCCACCCACCTACCCAACCCCATCACCTTACAGTAATTTACTTCTCAAGTCTCCCTTGGCCAGTGTTGCATATCCATTGTCCTGTCATAATGATGTATTGATTTGCTCTCTTAGCATTATTAAAACCTCGTTGAATACTTTCCTGACATTAGTTGGCCTGTCTAGAGCTTTCTCACAGGAGAGGAGGCGTTAACTCTGCAGAGAGTTCATTAGGCCACGGAGCTGATTTATCACCAAGGATTGTTCCTGGGGCTTCAACCTGCTCAGTTATTGAGTGTGGCCATCGTTCTTGGTCTCTTTTCCACCTGGTTTTTTTTGTGGCCACCTGTGCTCCTCAGGACCTCCTTCTTCTGGGACATTTCCTTTGTTTTCTGAAGCCGTGCCCGTTCAGTGTGTATTCATATCTCCTCTGTGTAAATAACACCTGTATTTTAGTAATATTCTCCAACTTCTTAAGTCAATAAAAATAGCTTGATATGTCCTCTTTCACACACTCTTTCTTACCATGTGTTTTATACTTTTCCCTGGGATTGTATTTTATTGTTGTTGTTGCAAACACCTGACCTTTCATAGATATTTACTACAACTGTTGTTAGGAGCCTTCGAGTCCACTACAACTCCTAGCAACCCAGTGAACAACTGGTCTTAACCATTGCTCCATCCTGTGCCATCATCACCATCTCTGATATGCTCAAGCCCATTGTGACAGTCACTGTCAATCTGTCTAGTTTAGAGTCTTTCTCGGTTTCTCTGACCTTCCACCTTTCCCATAATGATGTCCTTTTCCAAGGACTGGCCCCTCATGACAACATCTCGAAAGTATGCAATATGAAATTTTACCATCCTTGCTTGGAAGGAGCACCCTGGTTACACTTCCTCTAAGACGAACTTGTTTTATTCTGTTGGAAGTTTGTAAAATATTCAGTACTCACAAGAATTCAACATCGCAAATCAAAAGCGTTGATTCTTCTGCTCTAATTCTTATTCACTAACCAACTTTCACATGCATAGGAAGTAATTGAAAATACTATGGTTTGTATCTGGTGCACCTTAGTCTTTAAACTGCATCGTTGCTCTTTAGCATCTTGAAGAGTTCCTTGACAGCAAATTTTCCCACTGTAACATAACTAGATTTCTTAGTGTTGATTGTGGATACAAATACAATTAAATCATTGATAGCTTTAGTTTTTCTCTTCCATCCATCAACATGTTCCCTCTTGGTCTTGCAGTGGGGATTTTTTTTTTCTTGGTGTTGAGATATATGTAATCCATATTGAAAGCTATAGTCTCTGACCTTCTGCAGCAAGTGTTTCAAATCTTCTTCACTTTCTGCAAGCAAGGTTGTATCATCTGCTAACACAAGTTATTGATGAGTCTTCCTCCAATCCTGATGCCACACTGTTTTTTATAAGGTTCCACTTCTTGCATTATTT